AGATCAGATATAATAAGAATACAGACTAGAAAAATGCAATAGTAGTGAGAATTCTAGAATATCTTACCTGTACAAGTCAAGTGTTTTGATGAGGAAGACTGAAATCTCCAAAACAAGCTGAAGGGTAGTAGAACAGAGGCAGGATTTGAAAGATGGCCCACAGGATGACTGGAAATGGAAGTGATTGTGTGCTTGCATTTAATGCACAGCAACATACAAAATCATGAAAATCACTGAAGACCAACACTTCTCAGCAACACAGTGCAGGGAATCCAATCTTCTAGTAGGATTTTTTTGAGAGAGCTGGTGAGAAGAAAGACAAGAGATCTTATCAATAAGCTGCCTCCTTCTGGGTATTAATTAGATCAACTTATACAAACTCTAATCACAGAAAAAGGTAATATTTTTCAAGTATTACAATTGCTAGGCTTCATCCTTAGCTCTTCACATTAAGAAGTAAAACCACCTATGCACTAACTGTTATAAATTGTATGATTATGCCATATAAAGGAAAATGCTCATGAAAATACTTCTTAAGCACTAGTATTTTTGTGACAAACACGTAATGAAGGCTTAGATTAGAATCTGACTTCTCTGAAAACCATGGCAGTTTATGCAAGAAAGCAAATGACATGTAACAAAAGCACCATCTTCCCTGCCTTAGTCCCACAGGAGAACTTCAATCTTTCCAGAAATGGAATGAACTGGGGATAGCAGGAATGCTTTCAGTGCTTAGTTTTGAACATGATACAATGGTGTATTGTATAGAGGCAACATTCTTGCAGAGTCAGAACATGAAAGTAGAACTGGTTGAGTCATGGAGAGGCAGAACTAAGTACCTGACCAAAGGTTTTTGGATGTTCAGTCATGCTGTGCCCTGTTTCAAAACATCCATTCACCAGGAATGCTCAGAGTAACAAAGCTGTATGCGCCCGCCTTCACAAGCATCTGATCAAAGGGCCCATCCAGTTTCCACCCACTGTGTGCAGGCAGCCAACTTCAATATTTACCACCCTTTGAACTGGTCAACCAGGAATGCAGCAGTAGAAAGGAGTGTGAACCTCCTTTACGCTGCCACTGATCTGGAACATATACTGTGTTCTGGAAAAGGGACAAGATGAAGTGAACACGCAGTGGCTGCACGAGTAGTAAAATTAATTTTAGGCCACATAGTTTGAATAGAAAATAAATAATTTAAAAAGGGACCCATTGCAACTATTTACATAAAAATTGAGTAATGTCTTGGGAAACAGTCTTTGCTATGAGCCTACCAACTGAGAATGATATTGTTTGGTTATAGAATAAGAATCTACAAAGCCATAGAAAATATTAATTTCGTTTTAAACGCTGTTGTTCTCTTAAGTGCTTTGGGTGCTTAGTGATTTTTTTTTTCCCCTTCAGGAAAAGTGTCTTTGAAGTAAGATGATAAAGAAAAAGGAGAAAGCTGACTTGCCTGAATCCCACTGTACTGTATGGTCTGTTCCGAGCACACAAGAAAATTTCAGGTGTGCTGTATTAATTACAAACACATTTTTTAAAACATGCCATCTAGTTGAGAAGAAAGTGCCTCTTCAGCACTGATAACTACCTCTGATGGAAGATTTGAGATTTCTCCATTGTATTTTGCTAACCAGCAGGACTAGTAAGAAATCTGCTAAGAAAATAAATCATCTTGGTAAAGGAAATGCTTTTTGTTTGGCAGTTGTAATTAAAGCAGGAAGTTGCACAGTAGCCTGACCGGATTACAAAGCCTACATTGACTTTGATGTGAATTTTTTTAAATTCTTGCAAAATCACAATGCCTTGATTACCAGATTGGCCATGTCAGGGGCTCTCTGGAATGAAAATTTCTTTATGTTCTATCTTGAAGTGCAGTTTAGCTCTTCAGCTTAGGAACTTGGCTAGATATTGGACAGTTATGGAAACATTTTCATCAGACCCAGTGGCCTCCAAAGGCCACTCAAGATCATCAAAATTCTTTTGCACCTGCACGTGAAGCTTTGGCTGCATATTGGTCTTAAATTGCTTTTACTATTTGAATAGCAAAGACTGTGTAAACTCTAGGTATGGCAAATGCATAAAATAAGGAGGATACTGAATATTCTGATAGAATATTGATGCATGATTTATTTATTTATCCACATAACAATTTGCTTTATGTAAGCCTTTTACTACTTAAGTCCTATCTCAAAAGCCATTGAGTCTGATCTCAAAAAGGAGAGCACTACAATCTCAGTAGGATTTGGAAATTCATTTCTACTTTATTGTCAGTATTATCCAGAAAAACTTGTTGCTGGTTTGCTGGTGCTTCTTCAACCATGTCTACTGAGATGACTTCCCCTTCCCTAATTGTCATTTACAACAAGAAAACATACTGTAAGCTTAAAATGTGCCACCATTTCCTCACTTAGACTTACGTGGGACCAGGAATAAGCTTGTCTTCCCTACACTAGATACACAAATGTATTTAGATTTGCTCCCAACATTTTGTTCTCAGGATTATTCCTATCAGTTTTTCTTTATCCGACTAAGTCTATGCTTATTTTTGCTGCCTTATTTGGTTTCTTTCTAATGTATTAACATCCTTGTTATAGCACAATGTCCAGAACTTAACAGTGCTCCAGCTGTTTCTTGCAACTGCTTGAATATGTGTTGTATCACTCTTGGTTCTGCATGCAGTTCATCCTAATTGCAGTTATCATGACACAAAATTCACATCCACTTTATAAACATGTCAAGTAATTTAACTTAAAGAAATCTTTTATCTTGGCTCTTACCTGTAGGACCATTGGAGAGATAAGGAGAATTCAGTGGCAACTAGTTGTTCATCTCTAGTGTTTTCTTGCTGTTTTCCAACATTTTTCTTTGTTTTATCCCACTCCCAGGTAATGTCTGACGTTTTAAATAAATAGCTATCTGGAGGAATAATAACAATGCTTTGTTCTAGCTTGTTATCAAATAATCTAAGCTTAGAATTGTTACTTGCAAAATTTTATTTACCGTTAACAATAGTAAAAGCACCATCAGCAGGAATATTCCTGCTCTGATTATTAAACTTACATGGTGGTTAATGATTGCAGTGCCTGCTGCAAGCATCTGATCAATGCAGTGGTGAGCAGGAGGGCTGAAAAAGCAGAAGTGATTTAGAAAGTTCACAATAGATAGTTGGCATTTTTTTTTCCATCAACTAGTGCTCTCATGAGACTACAGACAGCATGAGTGAACGTAGGAGGAAACAATACATCTGCAGACACTGGCAGACAGTATCGCTTGCCAAATTTGGCCACAGTTCCTCTAGATAAATAATTTCTCAGTGACGTGCTGGGTTGAAATTATATAAACAGCAAAAGTTACTAAGACCTGGGCCCCAGAGTACTGTGGGTTTCAAGATTTTCTGAAACCCACCATTAGTAGTCTGACATCTACAGATATTTTTCTTTAACAGCTGACACCAGGGACAGGGCAATATTACCATCACTTTGTACTGGAGATTTTGAATGTACTGAAATAATCACTCTTCAGGCACAGCACTGGTCATGACGTAACTACCAGCTTCTTTGTGAAGGCTTATATAAAAGTTATCAAAGCAGCAATCTTTTCCTGGAGTGGCTGTAACCTTTTATAGCAACAACTACATGAGCGTTTCAAGAAATGTAATTGGAAAAACACTATATTAAATTTCAGTCTCCAAAAGCATGATGGGTTTCCAAAGAGGTAACTGCTGAGAATGACTTACTTCACACAATGAATTCATGAAACTAGAGGGTACCAGGGATGGGAGGGGGGGATTCCTACTTGTGACCAGACATTTAGCTAGCTTTTAATGTAAGGCAGTAAGATTTCCTTGATAATTAAGATACTTCCGCTATGACAGCTCTATACACTGGTCTATCTGAAAAGTATTGTACATCACTGAGGAACTTATGCAGAAAAGAAAGCTGCATAATTCTTCCTGAACAGAAGTATCCCACAGGGAAACCTTACCTAACTATTTTTATAGAATCATCTCTAGACACACTTCTGAAGTTATAAAAACAAATCCTTTATTTAAAAGATGTTCTGTGAAAATCAGTTTCCATAACAGAAATCAAACGTACATGTCACTCAAGACATTCTGAAGGCAACAGTTGTTGTGTATGGACAGCAACCAATGGCATAGAAGAAATACAAGCTATGCAAAATGAGTAACTGCAGTCATCACTATTGCCTACGTAGAAAGGAACAGACGGGGAAAAGAAGTACTTTTAAAACAGTGATGCTTTTGTTTTGATGATAAAACTTCACTATCTAGCCCCTGTTCCATCAACACTCCTGAAGTAAAGCTGTTCTCTGAAAACCATCTCAACAAAATTAGTGCACTTTAGTCTCCCAGGTACTAATTGGAAGCAAAGCAGGGGTATGCAATTATGGAAAAAAATCCCTCGAGCACTTTTTCATTTCAGTCGTACTTCAATGCAAATTTCTATGTTTTGAGAGAGTGTCTTGAGCATTAATGTTATTGTGAGAAACTCTTTAGTTGTAAATCAAAGTTAATTTTCTTAGAGAACAGGTATGCACAGTAATAACACCTCAAAAGCATCTCAGGATTTGACCATTTCAATAACGTTTATGTAATATTTACATCTGCAAGCATTTTTTAAGAAGTTGCATTTGCAGTCCAATTGTGAGACAATTTCAGTAGTGCTGTGCACAGTGTAATAGCACTTCAATGAGTGTAAGGGCAACGGATTAAAACTCCTTAATTATCTCATTTTCACATAAAATGTACAAAAGCATGAACAGAGCATGTTCTCATAGTCTCATGTCTTTAAAAAAGGGATGCAGCAAAGCATCTTTTGCAGTTATTCTTGTTGCAGGGTTTAAGTCTAGTAGCTTATCAAGTAGGTCGTATGCTTCATCAGGAACCTGATCCCATCCCTTCATGTCTGTTGCCTTATTTTCTGAAGCATCATCTTCCTGACAGCTCTTTAAGTGCTGAATTTCTTTTCTGATTGTCTCAGGAACAGATTGTTTGTCTACTTCAACTGGCAAAGCTGAGTTGTCTCCAGATTTGCTGGGCACGTCACCGTGGGATCTGTTAGAGCTGCTATTTGTTCCTCTCAGCTTCTCACAGAGGGTTCGTAAGTTTTGTGCTGGAACAATGTGGGTACACAGAACTGATTTACCTAAGAGAAAAATAGTTTTTACAGTCAGCGACATTTTATTTTACGTGCTCTATGACTCAACTTTTAAGTTTGTTTCAGAGAAATTTCAAGTACTGAAGCTTAACTGACATTAGTTCAAAGCTAATTAAAAAAAAAACCAAATCAGCCATGTTTGACAGTAAGGGCCCCAGAAAGCCAGAAGTAGCTCTGCTTAGAACAGAACTGTGTTTCTACATGAAGTTATAAATTGACAAGTCGTCTCTCAGTCCACACAGCACCATTTGCCATTTCACCCTCATCTTAACAGAACTGAAAACTTAAAACCCAGTTCAGTTCATTGCTTATATTACTGATTTAAACACCTGTTTGGAGAATTAAAATTGATGCTGTCGGTTACACTTCCAGGTACCAAGTGCTTTAATGTTTGGCTTGCAGTCAAGGAAAATGGCTATTTCTATTTTTGTGCTTTTTCTTCTCCCTCCAAACAGGCCCTCTTGCATTTCCTACTGTTTTTTTTTGTTTGGTTGGTTGGTTTTTTCTGGTCCTTCTTGAAGTTGGATAAAAATGCAAGATTTACATCCTCTAAATATTAAGTCAATACAACTTAAGGCTCCATAGCAAATTTTGCAGGAATAAATATTACTTCAAGAATTCTAAGAAGTAGGAAACATTTAGTTGGCGTATTTCACCTCAAGTGGCCCTGAGTTACTGAAAGGCAGCAAAGTTAGGAAATCCACGGAATGAATTACTCCTCATAAAAAATTATAAAAGATAGACAAATAAAAGCTTTCCTAAAACTCTGTATATATGTATAAATAAGTGTTATTTTGCATGCAAGAAGTGTGACTTACCTCCAAAGTGACTCCCAAAGTTAAAAGTTTGTTTAAAAAAAAAACAAGTCACAACTAGATCATAAATCATTGTATTAAACAGCAGACCAGGCATTCATTTTCCCCTCCTCCCCATAATTAAGGTTTGCATACCAAAAGTTTTAGCAGCCTGAATGGTTTCTCGAGATCCACGAACTGTCATGATTTGTGCCAAAGCAGTTAAATCATCGCTCGCTTTGTAAAATGGATACCGTCCACTGAGCAGAGAAAGGAATACAATTCCTGCAGACCACATGTCAATTGCTGTAATGGAAAGCAAGCTTAGTAACAAATAAGCAAGCAAAACAAGTAAAGTTTCATCAAAAGCAAAATCCCAAATTCTTGAAAAAGAAATTATGACCAGAAGTGTTGTCATCAGAGAAATCAATGTTCTGAATTACCTACAGACTGTGGTCACAATGATAACACTTCAGCAAGCAGTGCAAATTGGTATACTTGTAAATAAAGTCAGATGCCTTCTTTTATAGAGAATGTTTGTCTATAGAATTTCTCACATGAGTAATTTCATTAAGTTGCTTTAAGAAATGTACTGAAACAGTATTTGAAGTTATTCTGATCAGGGAGCTGAGAGAGGAAAAAATGGCTAGTTTTGATACTTCAATAAGTTTGGTTAGATTGGAGAAAACTTTGTACAAAAGTTCATGAATACAAAACAATTCAGAATTGAATGTAAATCTTACTTTTCTGGGACTGAGGTTGCCAGTTAGATGTACTAAAAGGCTTGTCTTACTACAGACTTGCTTGCTCTCTAATATGAAACCACTTGACAAGATTGTTTAAGAACTGTAAGAGTTATTCATCACTTTCGTTGTGTTATGAAGAGTACAGGGAGTTCTCTGATGGAAAAAGCCAAAGCATGATGGAAACTTTAATACTGAAAGTTATAAGAATACCTGTCTGCTGTAATTTTTTGGCTAAGTTGCACATTTTGAGAGATGGCAAGGAAAGTGAAGGAGAGAGTCTGAAGAACTCTCAAATTCTAAAGAGAAAAATTAAGTTGGGAAACAAACCTCTACTCATCCTGCATATCTTCCAAAAATAGGCAGTAAAATATGCAGTAATTAAGTCTGACATTTTAGCTAGAAACGGCAAAGAGCTCTGAAACTTCTAAGTTGGTCGACAAACACAGGTTTCAAGTCTTTTACAAAAATCAAAATCCAAGTTATTTATGGGTACAATAATTCAGTGTGCAAGAATTCTGCATCTTATCTTCAATGAAAAAGTTTTAGCAGTACTGTATTGATGTTGGTCACACTAGCTGCTTACAGTGTTATGCATCACCCTTAGTATGTGGTTGGGAAGGACAGTCATTAAGGTGAAGACTTTTAAAGATAATTATTTAGCTCTTCCTGATATTGTCAGACAATTATATAGTGAAATTACTACTAAATCCTACAGTTCTGATAGGGTTGGCATCTTCAGCAGACTGTGGGATCTTGTGCAATGACATCAAAATCATGATTCCTCTCTGCATTTGCCTAGTGGTTAATATCTAACTAGTGAGGGATACCATCTCAAAGGGAAACAAAGGAACAAATCAAGTTAAAAAATGTAACTGGATCTGCTTAGGGCCGAGATGTAGGTCTGGGTTGTATTCTCTGTGTTTTAAACCTGGCTCACTTATTTAAGGTAGCTCTGGACAGCCATCTGGATCCAGCTGATAACTTGGTCTCGGCACAAAGACCAAAACTAGTAGCAAGATTGGCAGGAGTACAAGGAGGTGACTACAGCAGTCCCAGATGTTATTGGGTAAGATTTGTTAGCTCAAATATAGCATTATCTCATAAATATTAGCATTATTCTACCCAGTTCTAATTAAGCACTTTGTTGACCTATTACAGAAGCTTTGCAGCACTGACTCAATACCTTCAGGGCCACACCCAAGGGTTTCCAGATTTACCCATATTTTCTGTAATCCTGCCCTCCGTTACCCTAGAGAACAGAAAACTGTCTGAAAGCACACTGAAGACAACCCTGTGTCCAAAATTTCTTAAGTATGTCTTCTTTCTGCATAAATTCTGTCTAGACAGATTTAGGGATTGTCTAAACTTGTCCTGGATTTCTGGATGTCTCCTAGCTCACAAAGCTGGCTGTTACTGCACAGGCACAGTGACTCCAAGTAGGCTGCCATTCCTCTTGAAATCCCAGCCATGCCCACAGCACAGATCCTGTCTCAAACAGCATTAAGCTATCAAGGGATATGATGATCAAATGTATTGTAAGGCTAGTCTGAGTGTGTATAAGCACTTTCAAATGCTGCAAATTGACTATTTTCTTACAAAGTGCTCAGCAAAAAAGATGGCTATCAACTTATTTTAAATACAGATTTTGAGAATGTTGGTTTCTATCCTTCATTTTCATAATCAAAACCTCTGGTCACACATGACATGTTTAACTTTGTATCAGTCCTCCAATTCTCCATGTACGCAGAGTTTCTCCCAGCCTACTTGTGTCAGCTAATGCATTAACCACCCCTTTGTTCTGCCCCAATATTTACCAGATTACTGAAACGTATAGGTTTTAGCCCTGAAAAATTAAAAATCTTAGTAAGAAAAAATCATGAAATGTACAGATTATCTATTTAAAGCATTAGTAAAGAAGAAAAAAAAATCCAGTGAAAAGTACAGATTAACTAACACTTCATAAAAAACATAAAAATTGCACTCATACAATTAATTATGCCTGTGACAGCAAAATACATGTGGCAAACAGTCTAGAAAAGTCTAAAGCATATCTCTCTAAGATTTATTTAAGATTTTTCTTGAATAAATAAGCCAACGAGCCAAGAAACTTGATAAAACTTACAACTTTGTTTTCTTTTAAAACATGTGCTATTGAACTCCTGCATATGGCAGTACCCCTCAAAGGGATAAAGACATTCAAGTTTCAAACACGGGAAAATATTCCTAGTTCCTTCTTATTCTGAGTAATGAACTTTAAATTAAAATTGGGAAATGGTTGATAAATGTTAAAGGGATAATAAAACGAATTTCATGTGTAAACAGCCTCCTATACAAAAGATGATGTCAGTGCATAAATGATAGGTTTGAAAAAAAGAAAGACATGTAGTACCTGTTGTCTGAGTGGGGCACTTTGTCAGTACTTCTGGTGCTCTGAATCCAGGTGTTCCTGCTCTGGGAGCAACTTGTTGACACCTTGTTGTAAGAGACAAATACGTTTAGAATATATGCATTCAGAAATAGATAAGTTCTAATTATAATGATGTTTAATATTTTTAGAATATACTTTTGTCAGATGTGCAAATCTGCATTATTCAGTTTTTGCAGTTATTCTTGTTGCAGGGTTTAAGTCTAGTAGTAGGTCGTATGCTTCATCAGGAACCTGATCCCATCCTTTCATGTCTGTTGCCTTATTTTCTGAAGCATCATCTTCCTGACAGCTCTTTAAGTGCTGAATTTCTTTTCTGAGTGTCTCAGGAACACATTGTTTGTCTACTTCAACTGGCAAAGCTGTCATCTCCAGACTTGCTGGGCACGTCATCTTGGGATCTGTTACAGCTTCTATTAATTCTAATTATAATGATGTTTAATATTTTCAGAATATACTTTTGTGAGATGTGTAAATGTCTCATTCAGTTTTTATGTCTGAAGCATCTTATAATCATCTAGTGTATAATTATTAGCTCATATGAAATAACCTTATTATAATTACCAATTATATTATTGGTCTTGTTATAATACATAGAAAGAATACTTACTGCATACTTCAGTCACAATATTTTCAGTTTCATTCAGTGACAACACGTGTTTTCAAAGGAACTTTCAAGTTAAGACTAATTAACTAATGGCACAAAATGCATTGGTTTCTTGGGTGTGGATGTTATGGCTTTCTATTTATCCAGAGCAAACTAAGGCTCACTATTTCTGAGTGTTGACAAGAATTTACTTCTTGTTAGATTAACTAAAAGTTGTGAGATCATTATTAAAAGTCTTTCTTGAAAAGAAGGTCCAAAGTGCCTTCCTTCTACAGGCCAGCTTTTTTGTGAGTCTAGCAAATTCCTCATGTTTAATTTCAGAACTGACTTTGATACCATTGTATTTTGACAGTCAGGGGAGAGGTACCACACAGTTTCATGACTACCAAGCAGATTTCTCTGCATAAATTTCTGTCCCCTAAATGAACTACAGAGGAATTGATCTGAACTGTGCTATTTAGATTCTCTGGCCTGTTCACTATTAAAATATTTCAAATTAAGTAATACAGCACTGTCATCTTTCCTTTTTATTCTATGTTTCATGATTTCCAGAATGCAAACAGCCTGATGAATGTATTTAACCTTAAGTTCTCAGAAAGCAAGAGTCCAATCACTGAATTTCAATGCAGTTGGCGTAATTTAGGCCTATTAGATAACTGTTCAATGACAGACTGTTGTCTAAGTGTTGCAACTCAGGTTATTTTCTACAACACATGTAGGCAGATAATTAAATACAACAGCAACAGAAAATCATTAACAGGGAATCTCTTACTGCAGACAGCAGTGAACTAATTACTCCACAAATTCCACGAACTGTTCTTTTTGAAGAGCACACCTAGTGTCGTAAGGGCTGCACAAATGCTGTCTTTCATCTACTAAAACAGCTCTCCAGTAAATTCAAGCTTTTTGACCTTGTTTGACAGCATAGTAAGTAATTTTACAGCATTGTTGAAGCAAATTACCTTGAAAGGCAAACACTGCAAACTCTGTCCGTTGCGTAACAGTCACAGATCAGGTTTGATGGACAACCACTGGCAGCTTTCCTGCTCACTGCTTTGGTAGAAATAATCTTCTTCTTTGTTACTAACTTTCTAGATGAAACATCTATCATCTTAGATTGTTTAATGAGCTGCAAAACAGATATTTTTTTTAGAAGGTGAACTATTTAAGAAGCTTCCCTTTATACATAGATACCTGTCTCAAAACTACTGAAAAGACTCTCATCAGCAAGGAGCTCCAATTCTGAAACAGGAGATAGCAAATCTTTCTACCAAATCATAATATCTATAAATGTACTTCATTTTTCAGTGGCTACAAAAATTAATATCCAGTAGATATTTTGAAACTTCAAAGCTTTTTTTTTTTAAGTTAGCATAATTTTTCAAGTATTCTTTTGATTCAACATTTGTAAAAAAAACGTGTACAAAATAGTTAATGCCACAACCAAAGTAGTACTAGTTTTAATTCTACAGTAAGATGATCATTGCTAGACAAGCCTTCTAATTTACTTGGGGTTTTTCTCCATATCAAATTAATTCTTAACAACAAAATGAAAACATTTATTACATACTTGTTTTCTCTACAACTTCAGTTGCAAAATAACAAGCTAAAGCTTCACGAACTAAGGATATCTTGGGGGAAAGGTACATGTGTAGGAAAGATACCAACTAGCATACAGAGAAGATGAGTTGGGGAGACATACAAATAACACCTCTTCAGGAGTTTCAAAAGGGACTGAAACAAGTGAAAAACTCTTCAAGCCTTTCAGTGAGGTCACACTTAATAATCTGTATTCTTAATTGTCAGCTGAGAACTTTAGTTTCACAGGGTTCTGCCCAATCTTATAGAACTAGTTCTATAATTTCTCTAAGACGTAACAAATTGCTCTTACTGATGAGTCATGTTTCTTACTTTTGTATTTGAGTTCTCCTGGTATGTGGAACAATAGATGTTGAAATTCCTCTCTCCAAAGACAGAGCGTTGGGCAGAATGGTGCACAGAATCCTCCTGCAACATCAACAAAGAATACAGTAAGGATCTTATCCAGTGCTCAGCTGGATACTGGGAGTTCAAGAACTGTGTTCAGTGACATAAAACTGAAACACCTACGCGGTAAGTCATTTTCAGGCATCAGTTCACTGTGAAGAAAACATCATCTAGACAGAACAACAAACGTGCTCACAGAGTTAATCACAACTCATGTGCCCCAAGCTGATTTGAAATGCCATCTGTTTTGCATTTGTTATATATATACAAGTAAGCATACACAAATAATTACTGGTTTGGGGAGGAGTTTAACAGCATGTGGGCTTAAAAAAAAAAGATCTAGGGTTGTCTAGAGTAACTCATGCTAGAGTTTCAATGCTGAATTATATCTAACAGATACTGGATGACGCCAACAGTGTTACATAAAACTAGCCGCTCCAATGTGAAAATTGGTTCAGTGCATCAAATCTGCAAGATCAGCACAGCTTTTGTTCAGGTATTACATCTCCCCCTGTTGGATAAAAAAATACATTAAACATGCAAAAATATTAATGAAAGCAACTGATAACCTTTCCTCCTCTTCCTTGTTTAATCTGTGTTTTTGAGTGTGAGCTGGAGAGTGAGCTTTTGTCAGATGCTCTTGACGCTAACTGTTGAGCAATCTGTTTAGGTGCTGTGACAGCGACAGAATCCCCATTTCCCAAAGCTATGCTGTGATTGTTTTGTGAGTAACTTCCCTGCTGGCCTTCAGAACGGGCAGTTTTGAGAAGTTCAATTTTTGTATCAGGAGTTCCTTGTGCCAAGCCAAAATCTACCAAGGCATACCTAAAAGAAACAAAGTTAGAATCAAGAGTCAAAAAGTATCAACCAGTTTTATCAACTACTTATTACTTGTTTATTCACATTTTACTACTCATGTTGCTTATGTGCTGCCGCCAGCAACTCTGTTCTTTTTTTCCTTGTGCTGTTTGTCTCATCTGTCTGGCTCTGTTTGTCCCTTCACTTTTACACCACACCTATTTCTCTTACTTTGCTGTTTCTTGTAAGCTTTTCAAGTGTACTTTCACCGCTGACATTTTGAAAATTATACCCAGTAATCTCTTTTTTGGGTTCTCATTCTGCAGTTCCAAATTACCTCAAAAAGCAGCCAAGTGAACTGACCTGTCATGGACAGAGGCACAATGCAGCAGTGAAGACAGCTGGAATAATAACAATGCTAAGAGTTTGCCAAACCTCAAGCAATGCCACTGTAAATCACTTATCTTTAATCAGATTGTTTCTCCACCAGACCTTCACTAATTGCACCCTTCTCACTAGTCACCACAGGATCGCTAGCAATGAAACATTACTCAATCCATTCCAAAAAAAAAGCAGTATGTGACTTCTTAGTCTTCAGATACCAAATACATTAGTTATGAAAATTCATGAGTAGAAAGTTACAAATACCAGCCTATGCTTAACAAGTACCTATTAGCTTTTTTCCAGACTGTTACTGATTTTATTCTCATTTTTATTAAAAAATGTTGTATCTATACTCAACAGTAAATTTTCACTTTTTCAGGTACTTGACACTCTGTAAGGCAGACATTAAATTAAATGCTAAAAAAAATCTTTCCATTCTCAAATCCCTAAACACAGAAATAAAAGTTTTACGAATAAGAAGCCTTTTTTAGCTTTATTAGTTAAGCACATGTTAGGCAGCTGGAAGGAAGAAAACCAAAAGCCTCATTTAATCTGTTCTGCCAAGACACACGTCCCCAGACGAGATCACACTATGGACATCTGGACAGACTTACTGCTTCAGCCTCCTGTTGTAGAGGAAGTTACTGGGTTTGACGTCACGATGAACAATACCAAAGTGATGAATGCGCCTCAGTGCTTTAAACAGATTAAACATGTATTCTTTCGCTTCTTCAAAGGAAAGAGAATTCAGAATGTCCTGAAAGATTATTTGGATACTATTATTATGCAACTACGTTCAATTAAGAAGTTCTATTACACATAAGAAGTCTGGGACTCACCAAGAAGGATTCATGTTCCAGATAAGGCATAACAATAACCACGTGATCATTCTTCCTAAAGCAATATTTAACTCCCATAACATTGTCTTGTCCCCTAAAAAAGAGAAGTAACGTCATTGAACAAAGACCAGAAGATGAATTTTGATTTTCCTTTATTTCCTGTAAACTTCAGTCTGGCTTTCTTGTAATATCTGATTTATACTTTGGCAACAGTCTTATTAGCAGTAATTATGTTGTACTTGTGTTCCATTTGAATTCTGCAGTTTGAGATGAGGGCTCTACAGATCAGGGGGCCACAGTTTGTAGTTACCACTGCATTTAGATGTAGGAGTTCACAATGCTGGCTACTCTAAAAACACTGGCTACTCTAAAAATGTGCAATTGAGCACATTGGTGACTAGAATTCATTTCTAAAACTTTAATTTCTTAAGAGATTATTTTTTCCAAGCAGCTGTTCCCACATACATACAAATTATGGAACTTCTCAGATGGAAAATGTAGTATGGTCTGCAAACTGAGACCAGCAAAAAAGGACATTCCTTACAGATAAGAATCCATTTCTTATTTGCTCCTGCTATAAGTCTCAAACATTTCTGAGATTAAAAAGAATAAAAATGCAAGTGAAGCGCCTAAACTTTACATACATAAATGCAGAGCAGCAAGACAATATTCAGCATTTTAATCATGACAATCATAATTTTTTTTAAGTACCCTGCTACTGTAAGGCACTGAAGTTCAGCAGCAATTCGCAGAGGGTGACTGGTTGGAATCAAGTGCTTCAGAGCCATTTTTTCTTCACATCCTGTTTGTAGTTGCGCTGTGGCCAAGTAAACAGAACTAAAAGTACCTGTAAAAAAGGGAGAAAAGCAACTTTAATTAAGTCAATTCAGATTTTTACAGAAATGATCTAAATGTTCACAGTCTTACAGCACATCTGACACTACGTCAAAAGCAGATTTTAGAAGAGAGAATAGGCAGTTTCTTTTTTCTATTACTGAATTCAGTGAACTTGTATACAATTTTTTTAATGTCAGTAAAAATGCAAATGTTACACTGTCTAACTTGCCGGGGACATAGAGCTCTTTGAATGTAGATTTTCCTGTCTTTGATTTGCTTTCTTGTTTAGGTAGCTCTCTTTCATCTGACATCCAACTCTTCTTTCTCTGCAATGTAAGTCAGCTATCTAATGCTAATCTGGCTAGCACTGCTTTTGCTACTCAAGGAACTTCTGACATCATTACATTTTCCTTAATTCTGTTATCTTATTTATAAAGTAAGGCTTCTTTCCTACCTTATAAAGGTATAGCTTTACTATTTGTTGGCCTCCAGCATTACCACATAGACAGAACATTATAGACTCCTTTGAGAAAGAGAGCATTCACACTGTACAATAATATTACAGCTTTAAGTTTTATTATTACAGTTTTATCTGTTACAGTTTTAAGGATATCCTAAAATATCTCTGGGAAGGTTAATTTATCCTAATGATCTGAGACACCTGAACATACAAGTCAGAGCATTCTTCCCTATGAACACGCAGTTCAAATTTACTTTTGATTATATTTTAACTACCGTGTTTGTGTCACATTAAATTTAACAGTCTGTAATCATATACATACATCAAAATGCCAGGAAAACTTCTAAATACTTCTTGCAGTCGTAAAAAAACCTAGTGTCCCATAAATCAAATAGAATTGCTCATAGCAACATGGGTTACTAAGTTGACCTAAGACCTTCTTTTTGGTGGTGAGAACTGCTAAAACAAAACAGACTCCTGAATGGAATCCTAAGTTGAAGCTTGTCTTGTCTTTATGCCACAGAACTGCTAGTGGTATTTTTGGCTTTCAAGAGCATTGTTTGCTCCCAGGAGAGAAATTGGAGTACTATTCATAACTGGAGATTTAGCTTGACTATCTTATTTATGACAGAGAGAACTGTACGTTTTCTAGAAATTTTGGATCACTGTGCAGAATGGCGCTTTTTACTTTCTTTGACAGACAAACTTTAAGCCCCCTGGTTTGCCATCGCTGTTATTCCATTGCAAAACAGCTACAAAGCTGCCCTGCTTCTCATACACATCTTTGCTGGAGTGTCATTCCTGAGTAAAGTTTCAAAAAGTGCTGAAGTCCCAGACTCAGAAGGCACTAGGAATCTACTTGCAGTCGTACCTACCTTCTAATAGAGTATCTACAATAGTATCCACTGAAGGTCAGGAGTACCTAAGTGTTCCAAAATTTGATCCTGTATATCCTAAAAACAAAACCCAGCAACAACAACAAAGAAACTAAAGCAGCTATAATATTCTAGCCTCCTCCTCCACTTCTGCCCTCAGTTTCAGCAGAAACAAACCTAGTAATTAAATATGTCAAAACATAAATGCACATAAATAGATTTTCCATGTAAAAAAAAGAACGGAGTACTGTATACACCTAAAAGTAAATCAAAAGGCATCTGGCTTAAATAGCTTGTATTGGCATCTTAGATTTATATCTGCTAAGTTATACATTTCAAAAGAGAAGTAAGTTTAAGTATGCTACAATAAAACATTTACCTTCTCCAATTTTTTCCTTAATTTTGAACACATTTACAAGCTGTGGCACTGCTTCATAAAGTTTTTCGATATCTTTTTTTATTCCTGCTGTGGAAAGAATGGGGAAATTCAGTTGAGAATTTTATTGCTCGATTCAGTATCTGGTCTGTAGTTCAGATCATAAATCATACATCAATTTCTGGTACTGCAACTTGACACACTGAAGGAAAAACAGACGAGGGGTACCTATCCTTGCTGGCATTACTGTCTGCCTAATTGATCATCTTCTTCACATTCCCTTCCATGCTGCAGCATTTCAAAAAATTTTACCTACCTGCCACCTAGAAATTCCTGAGGGAGGAAAAGCTGTTTTTGTAAAACTTCACATGATTAATGCTCACTGATTAATGTTCCCTAAGACATGCAATGTCAACGCCACAAAAGACAAAACTATAATAGTTGTTTATGTAAGCAAAGGAGCACATCCATGAGATGCAAACCAAGAATCAAAAATGTAGGAAAATTATTATTATTTAAGATCACCAATATAATCTCTTAAACTGTTATAATAGTAAATGCCAAAAAGCATATTTGCTTTGCATTTAAATTATTGTACTTTGTGCTGCAATCACTAGATGGCAGGACAAGGATGTTGTACTGCATTCCTCCCAAAACTTAGCTTTCCATTCAGTTCCTGAATGCTTCTATTTTAATTGTTCTCTATTTCTCTTGAAGCTGCGTATGAAGCAGGGTTAAAGAACATTTGATTATGCAGAAGTGTGAAAAAAATGCTATTTGGAAACTACATCAAATGGAAAAAAACCCAAAAGTTTATTATTTTCATCCTAAAAATGAATAATAAATTCAATTTAATAAAAATATAAATTCTTTCGCATTGGTAAAACATGGGTCTTACTGCTCAAGATAGGAACATTATTAGTTCTGTAATATCCTAGACAGACCTTCATGCCTAGAGGCTGTGTGCCATAGGACAGGCATAACAAATGGTTCAAAATGCTGATATGCATCTTAACAGCTCTGTCAGAATTGCCTTGTTTAGAACTAGATTGCTATGCAACCTGCTCTAAATAAAGCAACCTACAGTTTTGTTCCAGCACTCATATCTGAGTTTGGCTTCTGAAAAGAGGAGCTTAAGCTTCAATTCTTACTGATTACACTGAATTTGCACTGGAAATACTCCAGTAAAATTGTTTGGTTGAAAAAAAGGACTTAACCTTGACAAAATGCAAATGACTCCAATAAAGACTTGAAGCCCACATCTTTTAAGTCTTCAGAAACTAGCAGATCAGACTTAAAGCTGACTTTAACTTGTCACCAGGCCAATGGCCCTATGGTAGATAGCAGCAGTAATGAAAAGCTCTTGCAACTGCTGCAGTACAATCTGCCAGCTACTTGGTTTTGTGCAACCGAGTTGAAGGAGTTGAATGTTATCAGAGCTCTAATAGCTGAGTGATCCTACACCAGAGGAGTACATATCTTAGGCACTGAGAAAATTTAGCAACTCAACATAGCTTCGCATGTGAAAGACCCCCAAAGCAAACAAACATTGACTGTCCTTGTTGATAGCTGCACACACATCATCCATTCTCTTCCAGGAGTCTGAATCCCCAGCTGGGCATAGTGCTCGCTCCATTGTTGGCACAACACAATTTAAAAATGCAGCCATTCTTTGCAATGTTTTCTGTTAGATTTTAAAGCAATTTATTTACTTCCCAGAATTAAAAGCATTTGCAAAGTGAGACATCAAATGTTATTCAGCATTGCTCTAATTATGGACACGGATGTGCAGCAAAATGACAGAGGACTATTTCTAGGAAA